GGTACACGGAGTTCAAACTGTGGAATTGGAATTGAGAGCTTCAAATCTAATTATAGTGTTTGGTAACACAAAAATTATGTGGATTCGAAATTGATAGTGCAAAAAATGAATTGGAATTGGTGAATTCAATTCTATGGAATTGAATCCCACGGAATTTCAATTCCAGTTCAATTCCAATTCTATCAATTCTGTATACCAAACGGATCCTAAAAGTAAATCAATCCATCTAAACAATATGGTAAAAGTGGAGAAATAATATTGAAATATAAGAAACAAAAAAGATTCGTGCCTAGGTTTCAAATTCTGAATTTAAAAACACAACAATTAAAAAAGTTATTATCTAAAAACAAATTCAAATTAAAACACAAATTAAAAAGAAAATGAACTAATCTCACACATAATTTGAATAATAGCATAAAGAAATCGGGATAAAAAGAGGCCGTTTCTTTTCCTGGAGCCAGCTGGAGTGGTCGCTGGCCAAGTAGAGAACAGTTAGCGCCTAGTTGGATGCAGAGTCGCTAGTCTGATGTGGAAGACGGCGTCCTAGGAGAGAAACGAGGGGGCGCGGCAAGTAATAATGTATAAAAAATATACTAATTCCGTCCCAAAAAGTTTGTTACGTTTAGAAAAAATTGCGTCCCGTAAAATCCGTTACATTTCTATTAAAAAACCACTTTTACCCCTTACTTTTTCATACTCTACCTATCACATCATACCTTTTTCCTAATAATCTACCCATCATATCCTACTTTTACCCATCACATCAAGGGTATTTTTGGAAAAAGTCAATACCAAAATATCCATCCCTTAATTTCCCAAAAAATCAAACCGTCCCATTCTTTTTGGGACGGAGGAAGTATATAATTTAATGGAATAATTTTTATATTTTTCTAGAAATATTTAGAAATTTAAAGCGTGAAAATCAGACGCATAATGCTAAGAGTAATGCTAGAGTCACAAACAAACAGATCACAAAATTCACAAAATTGCCTTTTGACATTTTCCTAGAAATTAAATGTACCCAAATAATAAAAGATAATTTAATTTAAAAGCTACAAAACATAAGTTTGTGAAGTTTGTGAACTATTTGTTTGTGAATTTAGCATTCTTTTCCTAATGGAGTAATGCTAGAGTCACAAACAAACAGATCACAAACAAACAGATCACAAAATTGATAAATGCTAGAGTCATTTTCCTAAACAAACGAAGCAGGAAACCTTTGGATTTCTACTCAAAATCACGTCTCTCGCCATCTTTAATAATGGGGGTTACAAAATTTATTTCATCAATTATAACATTAATATTAATATACTACTACGGAGTATTATATAATACGGAGTATAATTTAGATAATACTCCGTAATTAATTAATTATTCACTCCTTCACCTCCCTTCACATTCCAGAATTTTTCATGCTCCCTATAAATAGTCTCCCTTATGAAGAGGCTCATGACCATTTGAGAGAAAAAAATAAAGATAAAGATTGAGAGTGTGAGTTTGTAAGAAAAAAATGGTTTGCGGCATTATCGGGAGAGATAGAGAGACATGAGGTTGTTGTCACGAAATCATCGTCAATGCCGTCAAGCAATTATTTTGTTTAAGTTGATATCAAAGGTGTGCTCGTTGATCCTAAAGTTTAAATATATACGGAGTATTTCATGTTCTTATATTTTTGTGCATGTCATAGTTAAAGTCCAAATCTATCAATTATTAAAAACCAGTACAAAAAAATGAGCGTATACATATGTACTCCTTCCGTCCCAAAAAGATTTACACGTTTCAAAAAAATTGCGTCCCACAATCCCTTACCCATTTCTATTAAAAAATCACTTTTACCCCTTACTTTTTCAAACCCTACCTATCACATCATACCTTTTTCCTAATAATCTACACATCACATCATACCTTTTTCCTAATAATCTACACATCACATCATACTTTTACCCATCACATCAAGGGTATTTTTGGAAAGTCAACACAAAATTATCTCTCCCTTAATTTCTACTTTAGTCAAAACGTACACATCTTTATGGGACGGAGGGAGTATTTAATTTTGTGCTTAGTTTTGTGCGTACTAAATAAAATAAATAAAAAGTACACACATATTTTTATGTAAAATTTATTTTTTTTGAAGTATACGAACCTATTTTGAAAAGGAAAAAAAAGGAGAAGATTAAAAAACATACGGAAAGGGTTTTAAAAAAAAGTTATTTTTTTGCATAGGGCTTAGCCAACTAAAAAAGAAAGATACAATGTGGTTTTGACATATAAAAATGAAGGGACGAAGTTACTTTCCGTGATAAAAAATACAAATACAAAGTTGGGTTACAAGTTTAGGGCCGAGTATGTAAGCAAATAAATAAATGAAGTGTGTGATTTAATTTTTATTTTCTTGAGCCGATTGATAAATATTTTATTATGTTGGTCAATAAATTTGAATGTATATATTTATTTACTCTTGATGCTTGAGTGATTTTTTTTTGTTGTTTCATGAAACAACTAAATATTTTGATTCTCAAGGGGACGTAAACTATCAAATGAATTACGGAGTAGAATTTAGAAATGATTTATGATTGAAGACGTCAAAGGTGATTTGTCTAAATGACCACGCTAGGGTTAACTAAACAGTTAGTGGACGAAGCAAAAGCTTCATGATGAACTTAACGACGTACTCTGACCAGGTATTGTCACGTTTTTAACAAGTGGGTCAAACTACTTTATAAGAATGGACCGGATGTGTCCAAGTGGATGAGGCTCTAAGTAATCATACCACAACGTGCGCACGAGAATCCAACAATGACCTCGTAGGTCTAAGGTTCACTTCTGATTACTAGACCCTAGGTCACGGGGAAGTATCCAAAGTAAAACTATGTATCGACTTGTGCAGGGTTCCTCTCTAGTCACAGCTTAATCTCTGTGGTTAACCTAGAAATGCCAAATATTTTTTAAATGTTCCCAAGTATCTATTATAATGATGGAATGTGTTTCTCAGTGATATAAAATATGTGAAAATTATTTTAAAATGAACAATTTAAAATGTTCTAAAATATATTTACATGTTATATACATCTACTGGTTATTTGTCACTCAGCTTTATGTTGAGCGTGTAGTGTTTAACTGTACACAGGTACTAGCAACGGGAACAACTGCTGAGGAGGGAAGGCAAAGACGTGGAGGCCGTGCCGAAGGAGTTTTTCTTTAATATTTAATAATGAATTAAATGAACCGTTGAACTTAATTTATCTTGGTTTGGGCTTGAATCCAAAGTTGTATTTACCTCCTCACATTTTTACTATATGCTTATGCGATTAATCGTAAACTCTTTACTTATCAAAACGAAAATCTATTCTAGATAAATAATATTTTACTAAATAAACCGGATTTTTCTAGCACTCCGGTTTAGTTAACTCGGATCTCCTAGGGTGGGGTGTTACGGTGCCTAGCCCCTGATTCTCTCTCTCTATCTCGCATAATTGGGGGTAGCCATATGTTGGGGGTAGCCATATGTTGAATTGGAATTGTAAAATCGCCCAACTAGTATATCTAGGCGAATCTGAGTTCAATTAAGTATATTGTAAATCACCAATAAGACTGATGATTTGAAATTAGTCATGCAGGTGCCAACGTATACTTGATGGTTTTCAGAGTTAAAACATACGTATAGGAGTCCACGACCTATCTCGGCACCTCCATGGTAGAGGCTCCAACCCAGCCATTTGGACATTTTTCATTGGGTTACAAGCGTGGCCTCTTGGCACCTCCACGAGTATCTATGACTAGTGTGTTTAGCCAGACTCTAGCCGTAAGGATCCCATACGAACAAACGATAGATCATACTATTGAATGATGGTAATTGTGAATTTTGAGTGCGAGTTTTGGGTCATCATTAGGAATGTAACTGTCACTTAACAATTTTTTTGATAAATACTTATTTTTCACAAATAAATGAAAGGTTGGATTATTTTAAGTAAATTTACTTTTTTGTTTTATTAATTTTAAATTTAAATTAAAGGTTGTAAAAATATTATAAAACATTATTGTTGGGGATTTGTCCCAATTTTTTAAAAAATAATATGATTCGCAAAATTTTGTATTTTTTTGGGAGAAATATAATAATAGATTACCAAAAAATAATTCAGAGTATCGCTCAAGAAAAAATACAATACAAAAAAAAGTTAGAGAAATAAGTATCATTTGGAGAAAAAAAGTTGTGACACTTTCACATTTTTTAAATTGTTACTTTGGAAAAGAAATTTGTATTGAATTCTTGGAAAAAAAATTAAAAGTTTTGTAGTGTCATTTAAAAAAATAAAACGAGTAATAGATGATTGCCCACAAACATTTAAAAGTTTTCCTCATTACAAAAATTAAATACAAAAAAAATGTAGTGACTTATAAAATTAGTTTCGTAGAGAAAAATACTCGTATTAATTTTATGAATTTTGTAAATATATTTTTTCAAAAATTATTTGTACTAAATTATCAAATATATTCACAAATTTTGTAATGCAATTTTAGCAAATAATAGTAATAATAATGATATAGTATCGAAAAATAATTTGAGGTGCAACCCAAAAAAACAATTACTCGGTACAACTTACAAAAAATGCAGTGAGTTATGGAGAAAAAGAATTTAGTACCATTTTGCTGAATAATTTCTTGTACAATTTTATAACTTCTATAATTTTATTTTCAAAAAAGGCAAAATTATTTCAGATAATTTATTTAATAAGATGACTCGTATGTGCAGAGCAAAAGTCAAGACAACCTCTATCCATATTGGCGTACAGTTAAAAAATACAGTACCAAACTTTAACTATGGTCCCCACTTTACTTAGTTGTCTCGCATGCAACAAAAATCCATGATCTTGGGTTGGGATGATAAAAAAAATTCCCAGGATGACTATTTTCTGGGATGATAAATTTCTCTTCTAATATTGCATGTCAGGAGTAGGTTTTCCATAATAGTTAATACTCCCTCCGTCCTATATTGATCTTCTCACATTGACTAAAGTTCATTTTTAAGGAAGGAATAAATATGACTTTGACCTTCCAAAAATGCCCCTCCTTATAAAATTGGAAAACACAAGCCCACACCCACCCAATTGAAAAAACTGCCCTCCCCCCGCCCTTTTCCGGCAATTAGTGGCGGCACTAAAGATTGGGACGACGACAGCGGGCGGTATTCTTGGCGGTGGCCTTCTCACTGTTAAAAAAAACAAGTTTTATATCCTTTTAAACATTTATTGCAATTCAAGATTTCTAAGAAAACACCTAATTCTAAGAAAACTAATTCATGATTACATCATTGTAGTGAAGAAAAGGATTAAAAATGTAAGAAAAAGGAACTCACCCTATTAACTGACAACTCGATCTTGAGGAAGCAACGGCAGAATTCAAGGCAAAACTCGAAAAACAAAGGCAATCGAGAAAACAGATCTTGGTCGATTCTAATTGAAGGCAGCGACGGAGTTTGCCCACCCGACCTCGCTGTAGTCTTCCCACAAAAAAACTGCGCAAATCTAGGGTTTTGAGGGAGGGATGAAAGGCGGAGGGAATAGATCCGAGATGTATAACAATAATCAGTGGAATCCATATCAACACAATAAATTAAGAGAGGGAGTGACAGTCAATCGGCGAAGGTAGAAGAGAGGCAGAGAATCCAGAGAAGGAAGACCAGGAAGACGTAAATGTTAATGGTGGGAAGGTTGGACGAAGCAAAGATAACAAGGGTATAATAGGCATTTTATTATCTTTTTTTGAAGTGGGAAGATGATTTTAGGACGGAGAAAAAAGAGAAATGGGAAGATGATTTCAGGACAGAGGGAGTATATGACACCGGTTTTCTTCTTACCGTGGTTTACTTCTTACCTTGCATTGTGCGGGTTAAAATCTACTCGGTTGTAACAAACTACTAGGTTCAAACATGTCTACTTCCCCAGCCATTATAGCCAGAATGCAACATACATCTTTTTTGTTTCTCCTCCTCAATAAGAGTTGTTTCCTTTTCCCCAGCAAAAAAATAAAATAAGATCGAAACAAAGCGCAAGTTATAATGATATTTTAGTTGAGCGCCTGGTCAATTTCTTCCGCATGCTCTCGAAGTACATGCCACTGCAAACGAGAGAAAAGTTAAATGCTTTTGCATTAACGTAACCCACATTAATTGTAAAGAATGTGACGACAATGGATTGAAGAAAAAAAGGTAATTGTGCAATACCTGTTCCATGGGTAATGAAATGCCTGAATAATGAAAATGAATTATGAGAAAATATACTCTTTGGCAGAAAATCTCATGCAAACAAATCAAAACGAAGAATGCTCTTTGACAAAGTTCTTGAACACACAGCACATACCACTAATTATTTTTAATAATTAGAAGTTATTCTAGTGATTACGCCACCAAGTTCTTTATGGCTTAGTATTGCTATGCTCTTTGACAAAGTTCTTTATGGCTTAGTATTGCTAAGGTCTGACTCTACCAACAAAAGACAGCAACTTTCAATACATCTTATGTTGTCTCCAGCTTAAGATCTAATCGTCCCATCAGCATAATTCTGGAAAACTAAGTCATGATTTTGAATGGGTTTGTCCTCTACACTATTGAATGCATCATAAGACCAAATTGCTTAGCACCCCCTATGACTTTGCAACTATCCACCTGCCAAATAGCATCAAGTCAACCACAACAGAAAAACTGAATCTATGAATCATGTCTTGAATCCCACAAAGAGTCTAAAAATGCATCTCCGTGTACCCACCCGATCCATAAATTATTCTGTTATTCTTTAAAACAATTCTCCACCCACTGGTCCACTTAAGTATGTGTGCATTCAAATGTTCTAACCCTCCAACAACTGCTACTTCAAGATTTCATTATACAAAGGAGGTCAAGGGTAAAATTAAAAGTAGATGACAGAGAATAGTCATCCTCCTTGAAGGTTGAAAAATAAAAATACAAAAAAAAATCCCATTTAATGTGCATTTTTTACCAGAAAACGCAGCAGCTCAACCGAAGATAGCATTTTGTAAAAAAATACACTGCGCACTTGCCAGAATATGAACAATCTAATAATTGACAGCATAACATAGGATTTTATTTAATAGCAAGAGAATCAATCTTCAATGTTGACTAACATGGTAATAGCTACTAATCCCTCCGTCCAAATTTATGGTTCAAATTTACCTTATTTTGGGTGTCACAAATATTCTCATTGGATTGTGAGAGGCTAATATACGTAATTCACTTTAAAAAACTACCCGGTTTTAATTATGTTAATTTGCATGGGATTCTTATGCTAATGTTGCTATGGGGGGGGGGGAGTTAGTTTACTTAGTTACAAATTTATGAAAGACGAGAGGTGAGAGGTGGGCAACCTAAAGCCAAATGAGTACAAAATGTTTGTGTACATACATACATACATACATACATACATACATACATACATACATACATACATACATACATACATACATACATACATACATACATACATACATACATACATACATACATACATACATACATACATACATACATACATACATACATACATACATACATACATACATACATACATACATACATACATACATTATTAGAAGGTAGTATTTTACTAGAGTATATCATTATTAGGTATTAACTATTAAGTGTTGGAAACAAACTTTCTACTTTTTTCTAGGGATAAGATCAACATACACCATAGACACAACCTCCCTGGACCCTATTCTGAGGGATCCAACTAGGTAGTTGTTTGTTTATTTTCTTGGGTATTAAGTATAGGGATTTTTCTCAATAAAAAAGTATAGGGATTATATTATCTGAATATTTATAAGGTACTATATATAGTATCAAATTCAGAGGATATAATACAATTTGTTTATATAAAAGACAAACAAATGCAACGAACACAATTCAAACTAATTATGAATCTATAATTAAAAGCATCCTCCGCTCAAAACCAAATTAAAATTGACAATTACATGTTATAATAAAAAATATTACTCCGTATCATTTTTATTGATACTTAAAAAATGAACCATCACACCAAAGGTGTGTAAAAACAAAAGCCGGCAAATTGATAATAACAAAACTGCAAGCATAAGAAACAGTGATGGGAAAGGGAAAACAGAGAACCAAATTTAAACACATCAAATAAAGAAAGGAGTAAAAAAGTAAAAAGAAAACAAAATAAACCTACGGAGATCATCTACAGTTGCTGAGAGAAGCACAGGTTGTTGCTGCTTCAATTCCACACATAATCGCATCAGTTGCTAGGGTTTATTTGAAAATAATAAGCCCATATCCCCAAGTCATTTCCTATAATGTTCAACACAGCAATGATTGTGCCTGAGGTGACTCAGACATATGCCTTATGCCCAGAAAGGAAGCGACAAAGGCACACCAGGCACTTCACCTCTTGGAGATCGCCTAGCCTGACTTCATTCAGGCACTACATACATGCCTCCTCGCCTCGGGTGACTCGTGTACTCACCCTTAATAACCATGGTTTGTTTATTTAGTGACATGAAGTATATCTAATCTATCCCACACCAGTATAATGTGTCAGCACTCAGCCTAGCATTGCACTGGTTTTAAATTTTGACCATACTTGGTTATAAAATACTCCCTCCGTCCCACTCTCTTTGTCCACTTACCTTTTGGCACACCATCCAATGCACTTCTTTAATCCATTTTATCTTGTAATTTGTATATTAAAAAATTATAGAAATTATATATTAATAATCTATATGTTAAGACAAATCAAACAAGATCACACATGACTATATTTAGGCTTACACATTGAGAGAATTTGATAAGTCAAAGTGCTTAAATGAACAGTTCTAAAAGTCAAAAGTGGACAAANTGTGTCAGCACTCAGCCTAGCATTGCACTGGTTTTAAATTTTGACCATACTTGGTTATAAAATACTCCCTCCGTCCCACTCTCTTTGTCCACTTACCTTTTGGCACACCATCCAATGCACTTCTTTAATCCATTTTATCTTGTAATTTGTATATTAAAAAATTATAGAAATTATATATTAATAATCTATATGTTAAGACAAATCAAACAAGATCACACATGACTATATTTAGGCTTACACATTGAGAGAATTTGATAAGTCAAAGTGCTTAAATGAACAGTTCTAAAAGTCAAAAGTGGACAAAGAGAGTGGGACGGAGGTAGTACTTTCTTCCTGCCACAATTAACTAATTTGACTTGAGGCTTTTTTAAAAGAATATGGGATGTGTAGTTGAGATTTATACAACTACAGATAAACAACAATAAAAGATAACTTTAAAATCAAAGAAAGAGGAAGGCAATAAAACAGATACAATGGGAGTATACCAAATAAGCAGGGAGTTTTTTTAATCCATTCTTATTCGCCTAGCAATTAGAACTGAACTCCCAAAACCTAATTTCGCAGTTATATGTGCCAAATACCAAGAAATATATCCATAATATCATTCATTTCAAAACATTGAAATTCACATAATCAGAATAATGAATAGAAAGTCCCATTGAAAGAATAAATCATACCCTTTTTGCCAGGCATCTGTTTTCCATCTTTCACATAAAACTCGCGGATATCAAGCACAGGCTTCCCCTGCCAGATCCTCACAGAAACCCTACGGTTCTTCGAAAGCTACAAAATCCATACCACAACCCGATTACTGTGTGCTACAGACATGGATTCCACACATAAGCGGTATAAGGCATACCTCACACACGACGATCCCGTCGGACTCATCGGACACGTCAGTCTTAGTAGTCTTCTTAGGGCGGTCTTCGCCTTCGAAGGCACGGCTCTCGTCTTCCTTTCGCTTCTCGAACCTTCTGGACATTCTCTGTCCCTCTAGTCTCTGCTCGAGTAGGGTTCCCAATTTCTAAGTTTTTTCTAGAGAGAAACCGCTGAAGTGACTATGGGCAATGGGCGCCATTCCCAAAACCCATGTCTAAGCCATTTTCAAAAAAAAAAATCAAAATTACTTTCCATACTTTTTGGGAGTAAGTTTTTTAAAAAAAAATGTCCAAGATAAGAAAGCATGTTACTCCCTCCGTTTCAAAATATTTGCTACACTTCTTTTTTCAGCAATTGCAAGAATTTTTGTTTATTTCTACGTTTTTATTGGTTATTTGATAAAATAAAATATTCTTAACACCTCTTATTTCGAACAACTTTTCATGTACTTTTTTATATGTAAAATTTATTTTTTATTTCTATACCAATATATAAATAAAATAAATTGAAAAAACTTGATATTTTACCTCGGAAATACAAGTGTGACAAATATTTAAGAACGGAGAGAGTACTTTTTAAGGAGTACTACCTCCGTCCCAGAGTATTTGTCCACTTTCATTTTTACACACCAACTAATACACTTCTTTAATCCATTTTATCTTGTAATTTGTATATTAAAAAATTATAGAAATTATATACTCTGTATTAATAATCTATATGTTAAGACAAATCAAACAAGATCACACATGACTATATTTATGCTTACAGATTGAGAGAATTTGATGAGTCAAATTGCTTAGATGAACAGTTCCAAAAGTCAAAACTGGACGAATACTCCGGGACGGAGGGAGTATTTGAGAACAACATTTTTAGTTTACATTTTAATAAATTTTAGTGATGCATACTACCTCCGTCCCTGAGTATTTGTTTAGTTTTGACTTTTTTCAGTCAACCTTTTTAACTTTTGACTTATAATTATATGAAATATATATTGTATTTTAATTAGATAAAATAGTATTTTGAAAATATTTGATATAATAAATCTAATAAAACTATTTTTGTATCAATATATAATACTCCCTCTGTCCCTCAGTTTTTGTCCACTTTTGACTTTTGGAACTGTTCATCTAAGCACTTTGACTCATCAAATTCTCTCAATGTGTAAGCCTAAATATAGTCATGTGTGATTTTGTTTGATTTGTCTTAACATATAGATTATTAATATATAATTTCTATAATTTTTTAATATACAAATTACAAGATAAAATGGATTAAAGAAATGCATTGGATGGTGTGTAAAAATGAAAGTAGACAAATACTCTGGGACGGAGGGAGTATCATTTTTATTTAATTTGAAGTCAAAGTTTACAAATTTTGACCAAAAAAAGTCAAAAGTTGACAAACACTCAGGGATGGAGGGAGTATTAAATTTGAAATAAAAAGTCTAAACATTACCATTAAATAGTCTTTTCAAAATGTTAAAATTAAATGCTAAAATTCTTGTCAAACGAGCACAAATGTTTTTTATGAAGAAATGACTCTTTCTTTTGTTAATGCTATTAAACTTTTAAAATGTCCATAAAAGCCAATCCAATCTATTTAAGTTGTCACAATTCCTTTTAAATTCTGAAAACTTCCTTTTGAATTTTTAAATTTTATATTTTTTCTAATATTTTTTCTTTATTTCTCATTTAACTAGTATCACACTCGTAAACGCACGGCTCGTATTTACGTTATAAATTTATGTTGGTAGCATTATAAAAGGAAATAAATACAGTATTTATATATGTATATATCTATATATACATACATGCATATATATACATACATACATACATACATACATATATATATATATATACATATACATATATATATATATATATATAAAGTATGATTTTTTTTGTTGTGGTGTTGATGCGTGTTTGACCCGTTGTCCTCTCACCGTTGGATTATTACGACACATCATCCTAAAATTGCATAAGAAAGAGTTTTTTACGATAAATGGAGAGTTAATACGGAGTAACATTTATGACATTAATCATTTTTCAACCTTAGTGTTCTTTCCCCTCCTTCATGGAATGTTTAAGAGGAAAATATTACGAAGTAGGACACATTAGGTAAAATGTATCTTTACCCATCTCTCCTGTTATTCTTTGTTGTAGGCGCTCTTCTTCCCTCTCCCAAATATCAAAGTTTGATCGGCAAAACAAGAAAAAAGGTGGGTGCTTCGTTTCTCAGTTCATTCTTGATTTGGAGTTGTTTAATTAATTTTCTACTTTTATTTTGTTAATTTCATGGTCAATTTTGCTTTCGTGAATTTTCTTTTGTACTCATTGACTTGATTTATAGATATGCCATATCAATTGGTGATGCTTTCTTGCTATGTTATTCTGTAAAATGTCCCCTCAAACTCGTCATTTAGTGAAAACTCGAAGGTTAATTTGTACTTATTCTGTTAATATTCCATCTTCACCTTCTTATACTTTTTACTAGTTTTCTACCCCGTGCTACGCACGGGCTTGTTATTATGGCTCGGTGTTATGATTTTGACATAGATTCTTGAGACTGGAGGGTTTTTTTTATGATTTGTTTTTTCAGTGCTATGCTATGACATGTGTCTAATGGTTGTGTATGTTTTGGTTATTTAAGATTTTGGAATAGTACATTGTATGTATTTGTTTTGTGGAATGTGAAGAGTGATATTATTTTTGTTTGAGGGTTTTATGATTTGACATTGTTGGTTGAAGAGTTGTTTTGTTTGTCTTGATTACAGTTGTTCTTTTTGGTGTCGTATGTTTCGGTTTGTTTATTTTGTTAGTTGGTTTTTGTTTGGGTTAACATTATGATTTTTGTAATCAAAGTAAAACATTGAATACATACATAGAGAGATTTAGGTAGATGTTAAAAGAAAATTTAATGCGTAATTTGGAAAGTAGATTATAATGATAATGGGTAAAGATTATTGGTGGAAGCAGTAGTTGGAGTGTAATTGTAGGTATTGTCTACAAATCGAGTCCGTTTATTGTATATCCAAATGCATCTCTGAGAAGGACTATTGTTTGTTTAGCTGCATCTTGTTCTACACCGTTTAAAGACGTGTATATTGCATATTCTCTCTGAAGTTGTCGGTGAACGTAAAGAAGGCCACTGTCAACATATTCAAACATTAAAATAAAAGTTAATTTAAGTAAACATAATGATGATATTCAAATAGTAATGAAAGTGATACAGTATGTGTAAGTTCATCAAAAACCCATGGTAAATAGGAAAGCAACCCGGCTGTCGTAAGGTGTGACTAAACCTATTACCCAAGAATAGTGCATAATCTTGATGAAAAAAATATATCGAATTCTTTAGGATTGGTCAACATAAAAGAATGAATACCTAAAACCTGTTACCTAGACGTATATAGTAAGCGAAAGGCAAATGTGTAGAATTGATCTGGTATTCGTAGTCGACCCAAGTTTGAGGGCAAGAGAGCGAGCAACAGGAAGTGCGGGCACGGGCTATAAATGGGATGGAAACTGGAAAAGCCAGGTCTGCAATTTCTATAAATTTTGGACCATTGTGAACTCAAGTTGCTCATAGCCATACATTTTCTAAGTGTAATACCTGCATAAGATCAGACAGTGCGTCATCCAAAAGACAATTTAGAGCAGGAGTCCATGCTCTAGATTAATAAAGTCATGGTAAACTTTCACATTGGTATTTGGAAGGGGTAAGCTGTGTTGAAATAGGCTTTTCAAGACCATCTGAGCATGTAATCACAATTGCTTACCAAATTGAATACAAATTGTCCTCCAACCCTTACACAGTGTATACAAATCTACTTTTATATAACTTAATAATTTCAGTTGCCCATTTTTTTTCCTCTATGGTGCTTTAAAAGGTTGTGTCCCATGCTAATTTCTTACTCTCCTGTGCAGTTTATACTTTTCCGAAGTTATACTTTGTCGCTGTACTTTTTAATCAACCAGTCTTAACTACATACCTAAAACAATGCAACCTTAAAAGACCACAAAAGTAATATGCAATTCTGCAGATTGTATGGTGCATATGTTTTTCCAATAAGCCAAAGTTTTTAAATATAAACTAATTAAAAGGAACACAAATATATCCAGCTAAGTGAGGTTATTTTAAATTTGTTATGTTGCTAAAGTGTGACCTGTAACAGTTACTGGTGAATAGTAGTTTTCATTCCTGTCTGTAATAAAGGGTATTAATTGGCACAATTCCTTGGTAGTTGTGATTGAAAATTGGATTCATCTTCAATGTTAAAAGAGAAGTGAGACTGATACATCTAAAAATACTTTTTTTTAAACCAACACAAAAGTGTTGATTCTTTTGTTAAAAAATCAAACCTTATTAGACAATGGGAAAAAAGAATGTGATAGCTTATAATAAGATACTAACCAAATTCAGGGGGAAAAACAAAGAACTCACAATTCAATCGTAATGTGTCCTCTAGTGAGATGATATTCTTTCACTTTTCGTGTGTATGCCACTAACACTGTCATGGCACGGCCATTGTTATGTATTCCCTGCCAAATTATAACTCAGATCATTTAGCCACCAAAGTGTTCTAAACCTTGAACAAAGCTCACTGTGAATGAAATAACTATTACATGGGGACCCATATACAACCTACCACTGCATTTTTTTTTATTAATAAACCAGAGTGCAGTAACATAATTTATGCACTTTCATTAATGAAGGGTATATAGAAGCAAAATCCAAAATCTGAGCATGAGTTCCCGTAGAAACCAATTCTGAGTTCCAAAACCTATAAACATGTGGCATCTTAAAACAAAGTTAAAAGCTATGGTTACTATTAATAGGAAGGACATCTAAATAAATTAACAGTTATAAAAATGGCAATATGTCACGTGGTATACTATAATTATTAATGGAATAAGGTATAGTGAATGGTCAAATGTGTGACTGAAGTCAGTACATGGGGGCAAGTATAATACATGGAAAGGAAGGATAGAATATGGAATGTACTTTTCTAATTAAGGTAAATAATTTTATTCAGTATTACATTAGGCCTTTCTTAAACCATACTTGAAAAGGAAGAAAAGTTAAATCAACAGGTGCTTTAATATGTGTAAGGTTGCAGGTACAAATTTACGTAGGAAATGTCTATGTTGGTCACCTCTTTAAAAGCTGAAATAGCCAAGTCACTGATTTCAGAAGTGAATTATGTTTCATTAATAATGAGTATGGCAAGGAAAGTAAAGATTAAGGTTGTCAATGAAAGTGGCAGTTCTCTACTGGTGAGTACTGGAAATAGCCAGGTCACTGATTTCAGAAGAAGAATTATACTTGTATCCTAAGGTGAATGAACCTCCAACAACTATGAGATGTATGTATAAATACAAACACACCTAAGCTCACTGAAATAATTTCTCAATTATTTCCTTAAAATCATGCGCAGGTTCACTTGTCTTTGATTTCCTGTACCCAAATTGAAGTGATGGCTGCTTTTGGTTAAGCGATGAGGCCAAGAGACATAGACTCAGGCAGATGATAACACATATGAAAAACAAAACATGGATAAATTTCAGGTTGGTTAATTAAATATGCATAATAGTAGTTAGAAATACTGAATCTCAGATTCAATTGAAACACTGAATCAGTAATAGAATAATGCATACCCCTTGCGAAGTCACCAAAATCGTAGCCCCAGTGCATCCCAAAGGATGGCCCAAACATACAGCTTCTCCATGCACATTCACTTTAACCTGGGATACAAAACAAAGAAAAGAAGGATCAAAGCTTGTACTACTAACCAGTAATGGTAGAAAAATTTTTTAAACATTTGAAGATTATGAAGGGGAGAAAGAGTTGATGGCAGTCATAAGATGCTCAGAAGATGGAGTTTGAGTACTCTTAGATTGGCACGGGCTAATTAATTCGTTCTTCTTCTGGAAATGGTATACATCCCACAATTGAGAAACACACGCCTTAATAGCACAATTCGTAGAATCACGTGTTAGTTTCTGAATAGCAATGTGATCATCCATCGTCTTGTTCAGTAAAGCAGATATGCACGAAGACATCTTCAATGGAAAAAAACAGTTCCGGGGACAAACACTTGTGGGAACAAACTGACCGTATCGTAGTGCAGACTAACACCCAAATAATGAGTTTATTTATACATGGAGACAACATTGCTAGAACCCTAATAAACGAAGGGGCAGAAACGCACATAATTCCAATTCATTGAAAGTAAATACACCAAGCCGCACTACATAATTTACATTAATTAAAATTTACTCACCTTAAACGCAGGGTAAACCTATATTCCATGAAATCGGAAAGAGGGCAGCCGGAAAGACGTCAAACCATCTCCGCCCCTTACTATGTTCGTAACCGCAGTGATTAAACGTAACCGGCGAGTAATTGGAAAAGATTAGCGTCAAGGAAGATGGCGGCTGCCCCTTTGTGTCGCTTACCCGAGGAATGCAAAGGACGAACAACAATCCTGTTTCCTAGGTTGGCATCTCATTGACACGCTGGCTATGTCCACGATGGCGTTTCATTTACACGTACTCTCCATGTCAGATACACGTGTCAACACTCCAAGCATTGAACCCTCTTATATATATATATATATATATATATATATATATATATATATATATATATATAGGAAGGATAGGATATGTATTAATTTGAGAGTGAAAATAGTGATGCTTGAGCATGCACACAAGATGTTTGGTAAATCTACTCATCTGGTGTAATCTTTTCCATTGACCATTTTCATCTCTTTTGGAATTGGAACTGTTCAAAAGATATAAACTTTGATGCTTTTAGTAATTATCACTTTTCCCATTGCTATCCTCCAACAATTGGGACTTAGGCTCTGTTCTGTACGCCTGGCCTTATTAAATCTGATTTGAATTTTTGAAGTTCTGATCTGATAGGATCTGATCTAATCTGATTGGATTTGATCTGATGTGATTGGATCTGATCTGATCTGATTGGATATGATCTGGTGAACCACAGCCGCAAACGGTTCGTCAATCGGACGAGTAACGAAGTCGATACGGCCATTTTACCAAAACTACTCCAGTGGCGACGGAAAACGCGAGGTTTGCAACTTCCGCCTCAATACTCGTTCCATTTCATCCAATCAACTATTTGTTGGATGCGTGGCGACTCTCCATAGCCCTTGTAACTTATTTGGAGGAAGAAAACAGAACTCAATGAGATGTTGAGAAGTTGGAAGGCCAATAGTTTGACGATCGTTCGTTGACGTTATAGATTCATTCGGTCCCTTCTAACATTGAGATTTTCGTATCGTATTCGAGGTATATATACACCGTAGATATAACGGAGGAATCTTTAATATATTTTTATGCAAATACGTTTGTTGTCTATACGATTATGTGTGTATAGATTTATGCCATATTGTGTTCTTGATCTTTTAAAGTTCTATAAGAGAACAACAAGGATTACAAGACGTTATTGAGCGATTACACAAAGGCTAAATGGATGTTTGACTCAATCGTAAATAATATGAATTTTGAAATAAAAGTAGTAGAACGGTTAGGCTATGAAGAATATGATTAGGCTTGAGGGAATAATATTGGATATCATAATGGTATCACTTGATACGTATAGGTCTGTAAATTAACATGTGAATGAATAAGTTGGGAAACACCTAGACTACATTTAGACAATTACATGAACACGTAAATCCATGCCCAAATATATGTGTTTTACATGAACGAACGTACGTGTATTTCTTGTTTAATATGCTCAACTACTAGGCATAACCTACGTTGAATCCGTATGAACATAGTTTTCTCGTTATAAGGATATATGGTATGAAACTCATTAAAAAGAAATCATCTAGAAATCCGTTGGAATGAATGGGTACTACACACATAGATATATGGGTATTGCTAAATCCACCCCCCAAAATGGCTATATCCACACCTTTTACCAATATTTGCTATATCCACACCCATTAATATAAAGTTTATATTGGTGTGGATTTAGCAAATTTATGTGAAAGGGGTAGATATAGCCATTTTTGGGGTGGATTTAGCATCACCCTAGATATATTTGTTAATCTTAAAAGTTCAATATAATTTTCGAAAGGTTGAACGTAATTAGACAGACCAAAACAAGAACCCGAGTGTCATGATATTCGATTATCAGCTTCATATAATCGACTATCTGAACTCGCTTAATTTCCTATTGGCAGCAAAGGCCTTGATAATCGATTATCACTTAGTGATAATGGACTATCAGGCTCTATTGAACTTTGAGCTCAGAAGCTGCCCAACTTGATACTCGATTATCACCAAGTGATAATCGACTATCAGGGGCTGCGGAACTTTGGATCGCAAATTGCCAAGTGTGATAATCGATTATCAATTCGTGATAATCGACTATTAGCTAGTCAAAACCCAACTAGAGAAAATCATGTTAAGAACCAATGTCCGAAATCAAAGTGTTTTTAAAGAAAAAACCAATAACTGAATTGTTGATATGTGGATTAGAAATCGAGACTTAGTTTTCAAAATAAGTCTTTGAGGTCATAAGTCACGCATGTTGTAGACGCATGATATAGGAATCTTTCATATCATGACATATCCGCTTAAGACGTCAGACCTAGTGTGCCTCTTATAGCGGGTCCGTCTTCGGATCCTACGAGTTTCATTTGGAGGGCTTGTGTACATACATTGTAACTAGGTGTCGGTTACCACCCACTATTTCTAGTCTCGTCAAGAGACTAAGGTTTGCTCGAGTCCTCACCGTTGTGGGATGACATCAGAGCGCAGGGGTCCCTGCATAGTCTAACTCATGCATCATATATTCTGTAGTCATTACTAGATTCCCGTACTCTAAATATAGGCATGTGACATTTGGTCAATATGTGAACCATTTGGTCGTTATGAGATTCGTGTCATTCATATTGTTCCATCATCATGAATAAACATCTTGATTATATCTATGAATATGGGCGACTCAGATTTGTGCAAAACACATTGCACTTCTTATCCAACATCGTTGACAACAAGGCCAAGGTATTTATATATTGGATAACTTTCTAAAATGAATCTCCTTGATATGTATACGTGTACCTTATATCTTGTGCTACCTACAATGCAACCATGAAAATTACGTGGCCAATGTGATGCAAGGTATTTAAGTATAAACATGTTATCGATCTCTTGTGTTATCATACCACTCAGCTTTATACTAAGCGTGTAGTCTTTTTGTCTAAACGTAGGTTGAAGCACAGATTATGTGAACCATCCGGAGGACGAAGAGACGATAGGATGGCAGGTCGACATGCATGATTTTCACAAGTATTGCGTTTGAAGTTTTGGGTGTGACCCACATCATTGTATTTGCATTATTTAAGTCTTTCGCTATCTCCGACATTTTGTAAAAGGATCGATCTGGATTTAATATGTTGTATTTTGAAATTTTGTTTTATGAATTTTATTTAATGATTTGTAAAAGGTTTTAAAAATATTGCTCATGTTTCACCTTAATTCCTATAATTCCGAGTTATACGAATTGAGGTGTTACAATATTTTGCATCGTCGCTTTTTTTAAAACGTTAGGATATTTAAATGTAGTTGTTTTTGTACTATTCATTTTTCAATATTTAAATAACAACTACATTTCTCGATATTCTATTTCATAAAATTAAAAAGTTATACAGAGTAATATTTTTTTGCTTCTTCCCATACACATTTATAACTTATCATAAACAATTTATTTAAAAAAAGAGGCAGAGAAAAATCAGCCGGTACGGTACCATAACCGCCGACGCGAGTAGCGGCGCCGGTACCGGTAACGGTGCAAAGAGATGGCGTACCGGAACCACCGGTTCCAACACCGGAACCGTACCGTGTCCATCCTTAGGTGAGAGAAGGAGAAGGAAGATAGATTGTGAGAGAATATATCAACAATACAATGGAGTATAGATTGTATGGTATAGTAGTAATATTTTTAAATTCCTAGTGACTGCAATTGCAGTCACCATCAATAACGTGACTCCGCCGTTGACTATCATGAGTGCACTCAAGAATCGCACAGATAACACAGTTGAAAATTATCTATCTAACACAAATGATAATATCTCTGCGAAACTTAAATGCACTCATGGTAATAATGATTTGAGGACACCCTAACATTTTCTTTTTTTAAATGAGCCCAAAACGGTTCTATAATCTGTAGTTGTGGCCAAATTCCGCAGAGATCCACCGGGCAACGCACGGGTCACACCACATAACACATGGCATCGTAGAGCGGTCAGCCCGTTGCGAGGAATCTCTGGCGGTTGGGATAGCTTAAGGCTACCACGTGGACTCCGAGGAGGAATTGGATTTGTTTTCGTAATTATTACCAATAATTATTTTTAAATAAATACAGATAGAAATTCGTAATTACCTGCCCATTAAGGATTTTCTTGTTTTTCCTTCTAACCCATTTAGTTCGCTTCCGGCTCACGGATTAAACTACGAATTCTCTCTTTCCTTGAGAATCCCTTCGATATCTGCCATATCAGGTCGTCGTCATTCGAGCCGTTTGGAGAGTTCTCCTTCCTTTTCACTTTATCTGTAGCGCCATTGATGGACGTTAACAATAATCGGAGGCCGGCCGAAGCTCAGGGCGGCGACGCGGCCGCTCCCGCACCGGCTGCGGCCAGAGTAGCTGCGGAGACTGGAGATTGGCGCTCTCAGCTCTCACAAGAATCTAGGCAGAAGGTCGTCAACAGGATGTAAGCATCTGACGCTGTTTTTGGTGTTATGCATGTGATATATCTGGCCATATATGGTGAGTTGGATATTATAATTATAATTACAATTATTATTGGGGTTCGATCAGGTTGGATTGACTGTCTGAGATTACCTGCGCTTGATGTAAATGATATTTGTCTCATCTTTGTTACCCTCTGTGTGGACGAATGCTGATTGATAATGGTAAATATATATAGGATCACATCCTGATGGATGAATTGATTTTTTTTAGTCGTTTAGGGCTTGCAATTGTTCTGTTGTTAAGGTGATCCTAGAAATTCTATTGCCGGTTTTGGTGATAACTATATATTGGAATGCTTCTCTTCTTCGTGTAGGAATATTATTCCCATCTCTGTTACCCTAATCATGATGGGTATATTTAGTCGTATATATATATTTACTGCATGTGATTGATGCATGTAGAGTCGAAACTCTGAAGATGCATATTCCCTCATCTGAGGGGATTCACGAGCTTAGGAGTGTGGCAATGAAGTACGAAGAAAAGATTTATGTTTCTGCTACAAATCAGGTGCGTATACTAACTTAACTAGGAGTAGCTGTGTTACTGGTTAACTATTTTGTTTTTAATTACTTGCAACCAAAGTGTGATTTGTGTAATCTTAGTCATGTGGCTTTTACCCGCTCATCATTCTAATTTTCTTTCCATGCAGCCAGATTATTTGAAGAAGATATCCATGAAGATGATATCTATGGAGAATAAACCGAGACGGATGGCCAATTCTATGCAGTCTAACAATGCAACTAGTGCTCATAATTCCCAGGTTCCAGGTTGAATTCTGTTTCGGTGTTTTAGTCCCGCTCTTATACATACAAAGCCCTCTTCCTGCTTTTGTCTCTTTATGAATTTGTTTCAATTCTTTAGTATTAGTATATAGTGATTTTGAAACATTTATTGGCATTCAAAATGACCATTACATGCTGTTGTTCCTGTAGGTGTACACACAGGTATGCAGAGCCAGGTTAATAGCGAAGGGCAACCACTCTCTTTTCCTTTGGGGACAAATCAATCTCAGTCGCGACAGCAGTTAGGGTCTCATAACAATACAACCTCAACCGGACTGCAAAATTCTTCCACCAATTTGGCTCAGCCTAGCATAGCAGCAAATGTTGTCAACCAAGGTTATGGTTTGCAAGGTGTAGCTAATGTTGTTCCAGTGGCTAGCACGATGTGTTCCAATATGGTATCCAATTCTCAGAGACAGGTGCAGGGAAGACCGCAGCAACAGGAGCAGCAGCAGCAACAATCTCAGACTTCCTCGCAAATGTTTTACCCACAACATGTGCACAACAGTCAAATGATGAAGCCCCAATCCTCAATGCAATCCCATATTCAGCAACAACAACAAAACTTAGTACAACATAATCAGATCCAACCATCTCAACGTTCTTCTGTTCAGCAAGCAACAAGTCAAGCTGTGTTTCAGCAACATTCACAATCACTGCTCAGGCAGCAACAACAGAATAACCAACAACAGCAAGGGTCAACGCTGCAGCAATCAATGTTACAAAGCCCCCAGCAGCAACAGTTGATCGGGCACCATCAAAACCAAATGATAGTCCAACAAAGCAGCTTTCTTGACATGCAGCAACAGAAATCTAGGGTGATACCTCTGCAAAGTAACTACTCAAACATACATCAACAGCAATTGATTAGTCAACAGACTATGCATCAGCAGCAATTGGGCAATCAAGGACATACTGTTGGGTTACAGAATCAACAAATTCATGGAAATCAACCATGTAGCTCTGGATTGCAGAGTAATCAGAACCATATCCAGATGTCACAACATTCAAAGGTCCCGCAGCAACAAATGTTGTCGAATTCTACACAACAGCAGTTGATGTCACAAAATCAAACACAACCTGGAGCATTGCGAATTCAGCACCAGGCAAATTCATTACAACGAGAAGTACATCAGCGAATTCAAGCTTCTAGTCCCATGCTTCAACAACAAAGTGTGATTGATCAACAGAAGACACCTTTGCAGCAGCAGAGGGCCAATCCAGAAGCACCATCAAGTAATTCTTCCCCCTATTGAGCTGATTAATAATCAATTCCAAGTCACTTTACTTCTATGTTTACGTTATAGGTCAAATAAAGTTGACCATATAGTGGTTGTATCCTTGTGGCTCCAACTTCTGGCCTATTTATCATTTTTCGTGCCTTTTGTCTTAAATTATTTTCTGTATTTTGCTTGACTATTTTTTTTATTCAAGTGTTGTTTGTCCTCATCTTACGCTAGCCAACTTCTTTTTACTTTTTAAAATTGTGTTAGCTTCTCTAGATTCAACAGCTCAGACTGGAAATGAAAATGGAACTGATTGGCAGGAAGAAACTTACCAAAAGGTACATCCCGTCCAATCAATTGTAACTTCTCATGAAATGGTCTGTTCACATGCATGGATTTGTAAAGGGATTCTCTCTGGATGCAGAAATGAATTAGGCTTCTTAATTTTGACTGGTAACTAAAGCATATTACCTGAATCTGTGAAACTTTTATGCAGATTAAGTCCTTGAGAGATATGTATTATCGGGATCTGAAGGATATATACACAAAGCTTTCTGGCAAATTGGCTCAGGTGAGATTTATGCATTTTATTCATTGATTGTTTCAGATGTCTTAGCATTTCAACTGTGTGTATAATTGGATTCATTATCTTATCAATAAGTATTTGGATGAGTGGATGATTAACATAAAAAATGACCTATCTTGCAAAACTCTAGCTCTTCGTATAATCTTTATTTCCTCTCTTTTCTCTTCTCAGAAATGGGGTTGCTCTAGTTGTAGGGTACTAGGGTTCTTAAAATAATGCATCTGCCCTTCACTTCCATAAATCTCTATCAACTTTATGATAAGAACTAAGGGGAATCAAAATGAATCTCTGTGATGGTCAGTGTGATTTATCGGATAATACTCCTGACTTTTCTCTGATATTGTTTTTCCTAACATGGTTAGTTTTTCTTTGCAGCATGACTCTCTTCCTCAAGCACCAACAAGTGATCATATCAAGAAAATAAAATACTTCGTAAGTATGATGGAAAACCTTCTACAAGTCTTGGGCCTTAATAAGAGTGAGATTCAGTTGCAACACAAGGAGAGGTTAAGTACCCATGAGAAGCACATACTCTATTTTGTTAATAATTCCAACAGACCCCGAAAACCTGGTTCATCCATTAAGCAAGGGCAACCTCATCAGCTTCAGATGCAGCCTAACCATGCACAAACACATTACAATCAAGTCAATCCTCAGATGCAATCTATACAGGGATCCATAGCAGCAACTATGCATCACAATAATATGCAGCAAAGTCCATTCTCTACTGTATCTGCTGTTTCTGCCCCACAGCGAAACATGATAAATATGCTGCAGCATGCCACCGGCGTGGATTTGGTGCAGGGTAGTTCGTTAAGTTCAATGCAGATGGCGGCTGCCAGCCCTTTACAACAGAATTCAATAAGTGCCCAACACATGAACATAAGTGCTCTACCATCCAGAAGTGGTGCTAATACAATGCAGTCGAGCCTGAGTAGTACCCTTCATCCAAATTCCCATATGCTTCAGCACCAGCATTCTAAGCAACATGAACAACAGATGCTTCACAACCAGCATATACGGCACCAAAATCAGCAACAGCTTTTTCATAAGCAACAGTTAATGCAACAGCAGCGACACATGAAGCAATCACATGCTTCATTGACAGCACATCATTTGCAACAACTTCACCAGATGGCTGATTCTAATGATTTAAAATTGACACAACACATGCCTGTCAAAACAGGTGTTGTCCAGCAGCATCAGTCTGTTGTTGGTCAGCGTATGGCAGTACAACATCAGTCAAGCATTTCATCACCTCAACTTCAACAAGCCTTATCCCCCCAGCTCTCCCACCATACATCTCCACAACTTGACAAGCAAACTACATTGGCTCCTCTCTTCACCAAAGTTGGAACACCTCTCCAATCTACTAGTTCACCATTGGTTGTTCCATCCCCTTCAACTCCTTTGGTTCAATCCCCCATGCCAGGGGAGTCTGAAAAAGTTAGTCCTGGCATTACATCACTCCCTAGTGCTGGAAACATAGCGTATCAAAAAGCTCCTTGTGCATCTGCACTAGGCCAATCTCTTTCAATTGCTACACCAGGGATATCAGTGTCACCTCTGCTCGATGAGTTTAGCAGTCTAGATGGTACACATGCCAATGTGGCATCAATATCCGGGACGACCAGTGTAGATCAGCCTCTGCAACGCTTGATTAAAGTGGTTAGTATAATTCCACTTGCCTATTATAAAGTGTAGTACCTTATCCGTCCTTCTTTGTGACATCTATTTTTGTGACCTTATGGTTTTTTCAGGCAAGTAGGATGTCCCCAGAGGTGTTCCGTTTAACTGTTAGTGACATCAGCTCTTTTATCAGCATGGTGGATAGAATAGCTGGTTCCGCACCAGGAAATGGATCTAGGGCAGCTGTTGGTGAAGATTTGGTTGCCATGACAAGATGTCGTATGCAAGCAAGAAATATCTATTCACAGGATGTACCTACTGGAACAAAGAAAATGAAACGATATACAAGTTCAAATGTAGTCTCATCTTGTGGAAGCGTGTATGATGGTTTTGCACAGCGGAATGGCTCTGAAACATCTGATTTGGAGTCCACAGCCACTTCCTGTGTTAAAAAACGAAGGGTTGAGGTAAATTACCCAGCACCATTTTCTTTTCTTATGAAGATATTATCAATAAATTCCTCATCATGATAGTTTTTCACGATATTTTTACTCTCGTGGGATCCAACAAGGTTGTTAATATTTTTTCAACACCTTTGTAATTCTCTCATAGACAATGTTGGTGCATCTTCGTAAGCTATTTCCCTAGGACAGACAAGGGACAATAATTGGTTTTTCTGTACAACTCATTATCTAGCTTTTGTAATAATAATTTTCACATACATTAGCATCTGTGTGTGTTACATGTTAATTATAGAGTATTTTTTGGATTCTTCCCATTCAACAACACACTAGCCAATGCTCTCGAGTGATTGCATGGTAACTTTATTTATCCTACAATGTAAAGAAGCATCAGAATTCAGAAGAGAAGTAACAAATTGAGTATGCCACTTCAAGTTATTCAATTGGGTTTTCAACTCACTAGGATGAAATTCATTTCAAGCGTCAGACTAGTTAAAATCGCTTTCATTAACTTTCTTTGGAAATTTAAAGAGCATGCTCCATTGCTTGCATACAGATTTTCTCCTATGAGCTTCTTGATCTTTTATCATAAAAGGATTAGAATGCTTATATTAGTAATATATATGAGACCTGCTACCTTATTGAACTTATCAACTATATTGAGTTATTATACACACACACACACACACATATGGGACACCTTACGGTCAGATGACATGCTACGGTGAAGATGACGCAAAGCTCACCATTGGCCACTGCAAAGCTCACAAAAAACAACTACAAAGCTCACCTACTTGTAAGGCAAAGCTCACAATATTTTTTCAGCATTTTGATTTTTTTAAAAAATAAAATTAAAGGAAGGGGTGCCGACTAGATTTTGACTGTTGGCCGCCACCTTTGACCGTCGCCTGCCACCACCTGCCGCCGGCCACGGCCGGCCGCGTCCACCTGCCCGCCGGACGCCGCTGCTGACCGGAGGTTGACGGTGTTGCTATTTTATTTTTAATTAATTTTTAATTTTCAAAATTAAAAAAGGTGAGTTTTGGTGTTCAATGTGGTGAGTTTTGCATTGGCCATTGGTGAGCTTTGTAGTGTAATGTGGTGAGCTTGGCGTTCACCGAAGCATGTCATCTCACTATAAGGTATCATCTGACTGGAATCAATCCATATACACACACACACACACACATATGCATACATACATACATACATACATATATATATATATATATATATATATATATATATATAGACACACACACACACACAATATAAGAATATTGAGTTATATGATCTTTAATGAATTGATTCATTTTTCTCAATGTCAGACCAGTGTGTTTATCTTTTGCACTACTTCTTTTCCCGTTAATTGCCTTTCATCTGTTGCACACGCCAGCAAAATATGGTTATTTAATGGTTGCAGGTTAGCCATGCACTCGCTCAAGAGATAAAGGAGATTAATAGACGATTGGTTGATACTATAGTCGAAATCTGTAATGAAGGTCTTGATCCAAGTATTCAAGCTGCTGCACCAGTTGATAGTGAAGGTGTCACCATTAAGTGTTCATTCAGTGCCGTTGCTGTTGGCCCAAGTTTGAAGTCACATTTTGCTTCAGTGCAAATGGTAATAACAGATTGAATTTCTCTTCGAGTCTTATTAGCCTCTTTTTTTTTTTTTTGAAAAGTAGCCTCTTATTTGTTTTTACTGACATTTTCTTATTTTTAACAGTCCCCAATTCAGCCTTTAAGACTGCGTGTTCCTGCTAATTATCCTAAGAGCTCTCCTATTCTCTTGGACGTGTTCCCAGTTAAAAACAGGTCAGGAATCAGCTTTAANNNNCCCCCCCCCCCCCCCCACACACACACACACAACACACACACCATCTCTTACTCCTTCCCTCATTATTGTCTACAGTGAACTTTTTAATTCTGTCCAAAGTTCTGTCATTGCATGACCCTATCATTCATTGCTAGGTTACATTTTTAAAAAATGTATGAGGATTATTCAGAACTTTGATGCTTTGTCTAAAGTTTCGTCATTGAATGACCCTATCATTAAGGGGTAAATAAAAAAAAGTGTGGGAAGGGTAAGTTGGGGGAAAATGTAATTGACGGTATGTCAGTAGTTAGTACGTCATCATGTACAATGAAAAAATATTAGTGGGTTCATTAATGAAAATGGTCAACATTTGTAATACTTTTTACAAATGTATCCATGTGCGCACACACAAAAACACCCCGTGTTTCTGAGTGGGCCGTCTCACGGTGTGTCACTAACTCTTATGGCAACATTTGTAATACTTTTTAGTGGGTGAATTGAAAAGGCATTTTGAGTGTTGCTAAAAACATTATGATAGTCTCACCGTGAGAGGCTTGGCACAAAAGGTGGAGACATGGAGTCTCTCCCCTTGTGTCGTAGAGGTGCAGGGTTCCAATCAACCCCTTGCATAGGGGAAGGGGAAGAAGTCGTATAGATTAAGACTTATTTATGCCCTTCCTCAGGTGTACACTATTCACATGGAAATCATGATTATGCTCTCAACACGTACTACAAGATTGCATAATATAACTCAGGTAAGGGTGGGAAAGTAGTTTCACAAGCCATTGATAACACATGAAGTCCTTGTAGCATATTTTTCGCTTGTTAATGTAAAATAGAGTTGCGTCTGTCCGTGCATAAAGTTCTGCCTGATTATATTTCCTTCCGAGATGAATAGTGCTTTTTGTGATTTTATTTTATTTTATTCCCTCATGATAAGCAGCAGCAAGGACTTTGAGGATATATCCACAAAGGTGAAGTCAAGGCTCTCTACATCCCTAAGAACTCTATCTGAACCAATGTCATTGAAGGAGATAGCATCAACCTGGGATGCCTGCGCGAGAGAGGTCATCTCCGAGTATGCCCAACAAAGGGGCGGTGGAAGCTTCAGTTCCAAGTACGGGACATGGGAAAACTGTTTGAGCAGCGCATGAGATGAAACCTCTTCTTCTCCTCCTTCTTCTTCTTCTTCTCCTCACCGCGGGATGTTATTATTTCTATATAGCAACAGCATCAAAGGGTTCTGTTGTCTCCAATAAGTAAGTATGACCTGGAGTTTCGAAATGGCACATTTCCTTTTTTATAGCTCCAGAGCCCATTTCTCTCTCTCTCTCTTGAAGTCTTCTTAGCCATACTTAGGTTGCTCTACTTTGCTCTCAAAAACAGTGAGAGGAGTGGCAAAAGAATGTTATGTATATGCATTTCATTTAGTAATAACAGTAAACGAAGGAAAGGCTGCTGCATGCCTTATTATAAGCTAGATATACTTGGGCTGAAACGAAAGGATTTGCAATCTTTTTTTACCATTGTACCTTTGTGTTTCAAGGATATCCGGATATGCTATTTTTTTGATGAAATAGAGAGGAAAATTTATATTACTCGCCTACACAAATTGTTGTTTACGTTTTATTATTTACCCCGTGCATAACCAAATCTCTAAAAGTTATTTTTAAATAAATTGTTATTGTTATTAAAATTATTAAGTCACTTTGTGTTTTCTAAAAGTTATATTTAAACTTATTTGTTACTCTGTATAAACTTATTTGTTATAAACTTATTTGTTATTAGGTTCGTTCTAGTGAGAATGCAATCTTACGAAAGAAATAAGGATGACTTTGGTACTTTGGATGTAGAACCTCTTGCTATCTTCTCCCATTAAGAATTAAGATGGGCATTTATGTATCGGTAGCCTTTTCATTTCTCTATCTTAATTCACATGTTCTCCGCAAAATCAGCGATCACCTTTCTTCTCACAATTTATTCATGTTCTCTCTCTCATTTTCACCGATGAATTTTGCAAGATCTGTAAAATAGCATGCCTCTATTTCTCTCATATGATTTAGATTTTGCTCTCTAAATTTTTCATATACTCACCATCCGGATTTTCATTTACTTTTAGGTATGAATTCCCGAATTTATTTTCTTGATTTGGTAATTTGTTAGCAAAGAAAGCAGCTTTCACCTTCAATTTTGGAGACTAATATTTTTAATTCCTAGGGCTTATTATTCATGATCTTCAAGATGCATTCTCCTATGGGTTTAGGTACCATTAATCATGAATTTAGTTTTTTAATTATCGAGTTTTGTTCTTTTTGTTACTCGTATATATTTGTCGTTTTACAGTACTAATCTCACCAAGTCCACTCATGTCATTTGGGCATCTTTAGTGCACTTTGGGTGCATATCAATTTTGTGGACCTTCCTACATAATTTTTTTTTAATTTTTTTTATTTCAAAAAACAAATGCTTATTAAAGTGGTAAAGAAATACTTATTTTATTCACATATAGGTCTATGATAGACCTTAGATCCACCCTAGAATTTGACCATTTCGAAATATAATACGAGTAGTTTTTAATTCAGTGTTATGCTTATGTTTGTTCCGTAGCAGTACAAAATGGGAAATACCAGTTTCGATAATTTTACTACCTGTTTTGGAATACTACGTGTTCACTCTTATTCATGGGCTTTATGACACACTAACAGCTTTCGCATTTCACTTTTGTATGCTCTCATCTAGGGTTGTAAACGAACCGAATCGAATATTCATGAAAAATATTCGTATTCGTTAAGATGAAGCAATATTCGAATTCAAATTCGAATTCGGTTCGAATATTTTTTAAGATTCATATTCGATTAGTTTAATATATTAAACATATTCGGTTCGTTTAAAAATTCGATTCGTTTAAACATATTTGGTTCGTTTAAAAATATTTGATTCATTTAGATTTTAAAATATTTTATAACCTTTTGATCTCTCTCTCTCTCTCTCTCTGTCTATATATATATATATATATATATCTATATATATATATATATATATATATATATATATATAAATTTTGGTTCTGGTGAGAATGCAATCTTAGGAGAGAAATGAGAATGAATATGGTACTTTAGATTATGAGATCTAAGGGTCAAGATTTCATCAAAATTAGATGCACCAAAATGGTGCGAAAGTGTATCACGTTGAAATGCATCAGAAACCTTTGAAAATGCACTATCTCAAAATCTGAGCGCAGGATGCAATCTGAGCCGCATGATGCATCAGATCCGACAGCTAGATTTTATTCTCATTTCTCTCCACAAGGTGCATTTCACAGGAACCTGCCCCTATATATATATATATATATATATATATATATATATATATATATATATATATATATATATATATATATATATATATATATATATATATATATATATATATATATATATAT